AACATTATGTAAAGTCAAAAGCTGCGTGTTTGTAAGGTGTTTGCCTCTGGTCAAACTACCAGTCTATAATCCATAATCTTCTTTGTTTAGAACCATTTTGGACTGTTTTAATTTGTAAACAGTGTTTGATCGGTGCATATTTCTCTCCTAAATCAGACGAGACACTTTTTTCACCGCAGAGAGCAACATAATGGATGGAGGACTTGTTTGAAGTTTAAAGCATCTTAATGATAGATTTGTTTCTTACAAACATGCAGCTTTTCACTTCACAAGACATTAATTGATGGACTGGAGATGTTTGGATTATTTATGGATTATTGTGATGTTTTCAAGGTTTACTCCACCCCAAAATGAAAATTGTCATTAATCACTTACCCCCATGTCATTCCAAACCCGTAAAAGCTTCGTTCGTCTTCGGAACACAATTTAAGATATTTTGGATGAAAACCAGGAGGCTTGTGACTGTCCGATTGACTGCCAAGTAAATAACACTGTCAAGGTCCAGAAAAGTATGAAAGACATCGTCAGAATAGTCCATCTGCCATCAGTGGTTCAACCGTAATGTTATGAAGCGACGAGAATACTTTTAGTACGTGAAGAAAACAAAAATGACTTTATTCAACAATTCGTCTCCTCTGTCTCTCCGCATCACCGTAGCGCCATTTTGGAGAATATCCACTGAACGCAAGCAGCGTACGCTCTTCTGTGTCAGCCGCGCTGCACGGATACGCTGTTTTCGTTCAAATCAAAGCATAAATACATGTAGAAAACGTATCCTTGTGTCACGGCTGACACAGAAGAGCGTACACTGCTTGCGTTCAGCGCATATTCTCCAAAATGGCGCTACGGTGATGCGGAGAGATCTCCTCTGTGTCTCTTTGTGTCTCTCCTCTGTGTCGAATTGTTGAATAAAGTCGTTATTTTTGTTTTCTTCACGTACTAAAAGTATTCTCATCGCTTCATAGCGTTACGGTTGAACCACTGGTGGCAGATGGACTATTCTGACGATGTCTTTCATACTTTTCTGGGCCTTGACAGTGTAATTTACATGGCAGTCAATGGGACACTCACAAGCCTCCCCGTTTTCGTTTTCATCCAAAATATCTTAAATTGTGTTCCGAAGACGAGCGAAGCTTTTACGGGTTTGGAACGACATGGGGGTAAGTGATTAATGACAAAATTTTCATTTTGGGGTGGAGTAACCCTTTCATCAGCTGTTTGAACTCGCATTCTGACGGCACCCATTCAACTACAGAGGATCCACCGGTTAGAAAGTGATGTAATACAAAATTTCTCCAAATCTGTTCTGATGAAAAGAAATTTGAATAAAAATATATTTTTTAATAAAAACTGTCTTTTCATACGGTCTTTAAAAACAGGTTAGATTAAGAGATTGTTTTTATATATACAATGTTATATTACTTTAAAGTGCGGCTGAGGTCCCGTGACTTCCTTTTCTATAATGGGAATGTCAATCACTCCTTCAGATGGAACAGGCACCCCTACAGTGACTGCCCGAGCAAAACAAATTGGATTATGTTTGAGGTATGCTGGTACAAGAGAATCAGTTATCAATAAGCAAAAGCTAATGAGATGTCACAAAGGTTTACTATCAAATTACCCTTTCAAAAACCAACTGCATCCAATTAAAGAGAAGCAAAAAATACAGGTTTTGAAATTCAACTTACAAGTATTTCCTTTCCACATTGTGTGATCTGATGAGGGTTTGGACATGTTCAGCAGCTTCCTCTGTTTTAGCCAGGATCAAAACACCAGTGTTTTCTTTTTCCAGACTATGGCAAAGGTGCAGCTGTGATCCTGCCTGCATGCCATCAGTTATCTTTGCTAGCAAAGGCAGACATTCTACAATGCTGTTTCTGATGCCATCTACATCTATGAGAACGGAGCAAGGAAATTAAAGAGTATGTTACTATATTATCCAATGACCTGTCTTCTGTAATCATGTAAGACTCATATTATTAGGTATGTACTTATACGGACTTTCTTTAACCCACTGGTGGTCTTTTTAGACTGAAACATTTTACATTTTGAATTTTTTTCTAACATATTTTACTTAATCGGAATATTATGAAACTTTTGTGGTACTTGCTATATAACACAAACAAAAAAAATCATGAACATGATTAGAAAAGGCCAAATGGGCTTAAAAAAGTGACGCTTGTAATCTTCGCCGTAAAAAAATATTGTGATAATAAATTAATGGGATATACAAAAAATATAGAGCAGTTTTTTGGGGCACAATCTACAGTATATAAATCAGCCATAATGAAGAGACGTATTTGATAATGTCTAAATATACGTTCAAATGCAAAACATAGTAATAGTAAGTAGTTACATTTGAAATTACTTACTGTATTAATTAAAAATAATAAAAACTTTTTTTGAATATTTTATACAGAAATAAATGGTGCATCATTTGAAGGTGAATATTGGCTATTACCATGAAATCCCTCCAAAATACAAAACATTAAAGAATAAATATTACTTTAATAAAATATAATACATTTAATCAAAAAATTAGAAGGTTAAATGAGATGTCATATACTCACTATGCAGAGGCACACCATATGGTTTATTTATGGCGATTATGTTTTTGTCTTGATAAAGGATGCCCCTGAAAAGAGCTTTTGCGAGCACACTGGTGTGAACAGACTGTAGCTGCTGAGTGAACTGTTTTGAGTTCATTTACTCTGTTTTGTAGAGGTGACACCGGAACCTTTGGAGAGAAACGAAAAAAGACGGAACCTAAATGGTTGCACATAAAGACACGTTAGTCAAAACGGACTACACATGCATAAACAAACGTAGCCAACCTCTTTTTTGTCATTTGCTCGTTTTTCCTTTTCACTCCGGAGTCTGTTCGCGATATCTGCTGCTTTCAGTCCTGTTTTCCCGTTAGAAGCGACGGCCTCGGTCTGTGAAGCTGTGGCATACGCTCTCACGAGCATCATGTCACCTCACCTGCATGGCGCATTTTCACAGATGAATAGTTCAAAAGTAACTCCCTTTCCCCAAACCTGAGCCCCGAGATCTTACATTACTCACTGGCGTATGTCCGATTAAAATGCGAGAATCACAGCTAAAGCTGAGTAATCAAGGAGACACTAAAAAGATGATCGTGAATGAACAACAGCTCAAAATAAAAGTCATTGGTCAGCGTGATCAACTGTTGCATTCAGCCAAATAAGCTAAATAGATTCGTTCGGGAATCTAATTACTGGTCACGCTGTACGTTTTTAATGCATTAATTTATTAGTTTTCAATGCATGAATCATCCCTCAGATCAGTTTGTAATAATAATAATACTAATACTAATAATAATAATGTAGAATAAACCCAAGTTCTAAAATGTTATTTAGAATATGACAGCTTGGTCATAAATAAATTTGATATAGCTACCTCAACAAGTATTTTGGACGCTTAAGTCACACTTAAAATGTATGGCTTTCATTGAGATAAGATGCGATCTGCAAACAAATGTTGCCATTTGAGCAATTTCTTTTCACCAAAAAAGGTCATTTTAGTGGATGTATGACTGACATTAGTGCAATTCAAAATAAAAGGCATAGTGATATTACATAAATATATATTAAATATATTACATAAAAGCAAAACAAACAAAAACATGGTTACATATTTCATTCACAAAATGTTTTGACTCACCAAAATCGACTCAAAAGAGTAATTTGTTAGAAGATCGGACTACTGGTCATGGTGTTCTGATTCACAAAAAAAGAACCATCTAATGAGAGTCATAAAAACGTGGAACCGGTTCTAAATAAGCTCTCACCTCTAGCAAAGACTTTAGATATGAATTCGACTACTGTCAGTTAATGGTTTATGAACAGGGTTGCAGCTATATACAAAATGTAGCCTATTATTCATGCTTTTTAAAGGGGTCTGAGGTGAAAAACAAGGCATATTTCTCCTAAATATTGTCTAGCAATGCATACGGACAAGTCTATAGTACTATATGTTAAAATATGCTAAAACTGTGGTGCCAAGAAGAAAGAGAAGCTTTGTGTGCAGAGCATGTGTGTATCATTGAAGGGAGGGCTGCGCGTGAATAATGAATAATGGCTGAGTTTGTGCTCACAGCTGAGTGAATTAAACATGAAGCCAGCACTAGAAAACTCACAGGTATGTTCTCTCTCTTTCTGTCTTTATACAAATGCATAATATCAGATTTAAAACGTTTTGTCTTTTATATGCTCTGGTGAAATAAAAATAAATAAATCCTGAAACACTTTTTAGAAACACAATGAAAACCCTTTTCCTTTAATCAAATCTCATAAACCTCATGCAAAATCTCAAAGAGTGGTCAAGAGAAAAAGTTTACGGTCTGAAATGGCTTTTCGATAGCTGGTTAGGTTGTCTAAATGAACCAACCGCCTGTCTTGCTGGTTGGGGGTCAGCAGCCGCCTGCATGGTATCTCGTGACAGCCTGGTGGAATTTGAGCTCCCACAGGCCTCCAGTTTATATGCTATCAGGTCCTCGATGTTTGTGAGTGATAATGTGCCATTTCTTTTCACAAATGGACCGTGGCATAACTGTTTGTAGAAGAGCGGAGACAGACAGATAATGTCCAGAGTCCAGACTCTCATTTTCAGTAGGGCACTTACTTTTATTTTACACCAGAGCATCATCATGAAGCTCATCACAGTGATCAGATGTTGTCATCCACGTTATACCACATAAGGGCCACCAGTGATGGGTGAATAATACTAGATAGGTGGTGTGCTGGAACCCATCCCTTGACAGGTGTAATATTAGGCTACACATCTTCCTCGGTTCCGCAGATCGAGTTTCAAACAGGATTCCCCAGGTAAGATGCTTAAGGGGCGTTGATGTCATTGTACGGAAGTGAGTTGGACCACACTGCTGGGCACAGATAGCAGTGCCACTGAAGACAATAGGAGGACAACGTGGGAGTTTCGACAGGAATTCGGACTGAGCTGGAGCATCAACGGGACTTGGGATGTCGCACCAGACTGGTATCCATGGTAAGCAAAATGAGAAATTTATTTCAGTACACTGCAGCCCATATGGATTTAAAATTTAGAGTAAAACATTTTACATTTTTATCTTTATCTTCTCCTTTTAGTGAAATGCATTTTGAGTTAGAAGTGTAATATAAAGTATGAAGATATGCAACAAAGTTAAAATGAGGGACATTTGGAATAATACATGTAAAAAAAAAAAGAAAGAAAAAAAGTACCAAAATCTTGCATTAACTTTTTTCAGATTTCCATGGAGTCTATGTGCAAATGTGTACATCTAAAGGCAAAGGAAATTATCAGTTAAAAAAAGAAAACTTCACTATTAAAAATGTTTTGAGTAGGAATATTGATAGTTCTGCTTAATTCTGGGTTTTAGCAAACTAACTTCTACAGTTCTACAGTATATATAATGACATATATAGATAGGTTTAAAATAGAGAGATAATATTAGGCTGTGTTTTATGTGAATGATGATGGGAGGTAATTTAAGCTTACGGGCGGAAGCGCCGCTCCTCATCCATCTCACCTGCACCTACATCATTTATGAGTCCTGGTGCCCCGTTACCATGGTGAGGCCAAGAATGAGGCACAGGCCGCACAGTGTGGAAGCAGTGTAAAATTTCCTTTGTTTCAGTCAATTGTCTTGGTCTTAAAAAATAAGTGATCTAATGTAAGAATGTATATTATGAAATACTATGCAATGGGGTGATCTCTCCATTCTTATGATGATTAAAGGTTTGTGGCATAAAATAATTTTTGGGTTTACTCACTGTATCCTGTCTCTGTTGTATCATCATATGTTGTATACTTCACTGCTGAAACCAGCAACTCCAGACTTAAGAGAGTTCCTCGTGAAGGCGAGAAGGGGAGCTGTCAGAGGGGTGAAGGTTGTTATAAGGAGCGGTGAGTAGGAGCATTTGTTTGTGAGGCCGTCTGTGTATGTAGTTTAATATTAGTATTTCAATACCCACAGGACGGTTTTGTTTGAGTATAAAGATTGATGGTGCTTTTGATTAGTTTACTGCTATTTACACTTTTTGTTTCATGAATCAGGCCTCACATCAATGTGTAATAACAAAACAAAAAACAAAAATCAAAGAGTAATGCAACTTCTAAAATATTACTTAGAAGATCACAAGTGGCCATATCATTTAGAAAAGTATGTGGACACTTAAGCCATACTTAAATATTATGCTAGACATTTGATTTACATTTCTGAGTCATTTTTGTTATTTATTTTAAGGTCATTTTAGTGGATTTATGAAGTTTGCACCCTTTTTAAAAAAGAAAAAGTGCAATTGATTATATTGAATGTAAACTTGTAGTGTATTTCAAATTTAAAAGCATGTTTTTTAAAAATGTACTTGTAGATAATATAATATTAATGAAATAAAAGGCAACTTAAGTGTACTTAAAAAGAGTACACTTTCATGATTGTTTCTTGACACTCTTAAGTACACCTTTAAAAAGTGCACTTTGCAATAATGTCAAATTGAAAGTACATTTTAAATCATGCTTTAATAATCATTTGTCGTGCTTTAAATAAGTACCCTTATTTTGATGTGTTGACTAATATACATAAGCACATGTAAAATAAGCCAGTTGATTAAAATTGTAACTATAGTGTGCTATTCGAAATTACATTTTAAAGTGAATATATTTTAAATGAACTAAATTGCACCTTCATCAGACATAAAAGTAATTATGAAATTACATAAAAAAATGTATTTAGTCTTACTAAAAAAAAAAACACTCTAAAGTTCAGCTAATTGCATTTAATATAAATGTAAATTATAATATGTTTTCATAATCGCAATTAACATGCAATTAAGTGTCCAGAAACAATACATTCAGATCACACTGAAGAGTATTATTTCTGTAATAAGTAATCGTTTTTTAAGTATATTTAAGTGTAGCCTACTTCTTTTTCACAGGGGTACCACTTGAGTTTACACTGATGTTCATAGATTTGTCATTAAAACCTTACAAACGTTTATTTTTGGTAGATGTTTTGCTTCAAAAGTGTGCTTTTGTTATCTTTCAGGTAAAATAAATGGCACTTGGTTTGATGTTTTGCGATATAATGCAAAGACTGCGTTCATTTTTAAGTGTAAAATCTTATGCCTTAACAAATATATTTTAGTCACTTGTTGACCCTAAAGAATGTTAAGTAAATGTGAAGATAAATTGGACTGTGGAATGTTATCCATGCAGTATATGATAACAGCTTCATGGCACCGTGCTGTTTTTGGACTCAGAGTGATAGTCAGTGCATTTATCTGGGGCTACTGCAAGTAGTCAGGGTGTGTGTTATAAGGTGTGTATGTGTGTGTATCTGTCTGTGTGTGTTTCAGAGCAGCTGGTGTTGGGAGCGTACAGAGAGGTGTCTCAGAGCTGGGATCAGGACTATGATGCATATGTCCTGCCCATGCTGGACGGTCTAGAACCCTGTTATATCCTTTACCGCCTCGATTCACAGAACCAACTGGGATATGAGTGGCTGTTTATCTCCTGGTCACCAGACCAGTCACCAGTAAGTAGGAAACACATGATAAAGTGAAATGTGTACGCTCAGTACAAACTCTCACTCTCATACTCTATAAATAATGTTGCCTTTAGCCCCTTGGGTTTAAACTACTGTGAATTGCCCTTCTGAGTGACAATACCCATTCATTCTGCACTTCACAGGTGAGGTTAAAGATGGTGTACGCTGCTACCCGAGCCACACTGAAGAAAGAGTTCGGAGGAAGTCACCTCAAAGATGAACTGTTTGGAACAATCCAAGTGTGTAGACAGGGGTTAATTTGAACATGAGCTTTGAGTTTAAAATTATTTTATAATTTTACCTGTATATTATCAATAAGCTTTGCCAATATATATATAGTTCAGATGCAAAAGCCTGTAAGTGCCATCTAAAATTTTCTTCTAAAATGAGCATTTTTGTCAGGCTCCTATATTTATGTTAAGTTATTTCACTTTAATTGCATAGAAAATGACCTATTCATTGCCATTAGAGTAAAATTACTGAGCCTAAACAGGAGTCTGATAAAAATGCTCATTTTTAGATGAAAACTTCAGATGGAACTTGCATCTGAACTCTTCATATAGAGTGTAACTTTATTTAGTGAAAACTGTTTTTCCACTTCTGTGAATTTTTTATTTTATTTTTATTTTATTTACTATGCTTCCTGTTCTTTTGTTCCTTGCACTCACCTTTGCTCAGGTTTCTTCAGGTCACATGTTTAGAGGTGTGATGATGTGTCATCTAAGCACTATTTACTATTATGACCTGCAGGAAGACGTCTGTTTCCAAGGTTATCTACGTCACCTGTCTTCCTCTTCCACCCCGGCCCCTCTCACTACTGCTGAGCAACAGCTCCATCAGATTAAAATAACAGAGGTGAGGAAGGTCAAAAATGTGTAAATACCTTCATACCAAAATCGAGTATCTGACAGCTTGTCTGCCTGCATATTAATATCTAATAAACAAATGCATTTCTTAATAATGCACCTGACAGGACAAAGTGGCACGGGTGAGTGTCCTGTGATTGATTTTGTTTTCAAGTACATAAATATTAAAGGGATTTTCACAAAACTTTTGTACTTTTCTATTCAGGATGAGCGAAGACGGATTGCCACTGTAAGTGGACAAGCAAAGGTAGCTTCTGTTCTCTATTCGCTAAATTATTAGAAGTGTTAATGTTACAAATGAACATATAATCTTTGTGTGTATATTATATGTGTTTCTGATATAGACAGAGATCAGCGTGGAGAGTAAAAATCCAACTTTGCAGGGTTTGGCGTTCCCATTGCAAGAAGAGGCTAAACATGCTTTACAGCAACTTAAACACAAACGCATCGACTACATTCAACTAGTAAGTTCCACATACATATGCATACACACACACACACAAAAAAAAAATTATCAGACTTTTATATTTTTAACTGTACAGGTTACACTCAATAAGCACATTTAGTATCAATTTGCTTCATTATATACATGCAAAAATGCTTTTGGTAATACTAAATATCCTGGCTTTTTTGCATGATGTTTAAAACCGGATTCTCTGAATAATATTACATATCAAAATAAATTAAGCTACAACACACACATAAATTCAAAATAAACGTGCATTAGTGTTTGGGGGTAAATAGAGGTCTTTTGAGTTCACTAAGAAGTTACAGTAAAACAGTAATCTTGTGAAATATTATTACAATTTAAAATAACTTTTCTATTCAATATACTGTAAATTGTAATTTATTCCTGTGATGGCAAAGCTGAATTTTCAGCAATCATTACTCCAGTCTTCAGTGTCACATGATTCTTCAGAAATCATTCTAATATGCTGATTTGCAGCTCAAATATTTCTTCCTATTACACATTTTGAAAAAAGTTGTGCTGCTTAATATTTTTGGAAACCGTAATATATTGTTTTCAGGATTCTTTGATAAATATAAAGTTCACGAGAACAGCATTTATGTGAAGCATAAATGTTCTGCAACATTATAAATGTCTTTACTGTCACTTTTGATCACGGTAATGCATAATTGCTGAATAAAAGTATTAATTTCTTTTTTAAAAATTTAACTGACCCCAAACCTTTGAATAAAAGTGTACATTTTTACATTATCACATAGAATATTACGCCTGCCCTGTTGCACTCCATATCATCTCCATTAGCCCAATAACAAAGCACTTTTTACTTTATCATCTTTAAGAGGCTGGACACCGAGCGAGAGACAATTGAGCTGGTCCAAACTAGTCCTACAGAGACCAAAGAGCTGCCAAGCAGAATCCCAACTGATGCCCCACGATACCACTTTTTCCTGTACAAACACGCCCATCAAGGACAGGCACTGGAAGCTGTAGGTTAGTGTCAAGATTTTCTGCCAGTATCACAATATGCCAACTTAATGGTGTTTTTTCTTCAGATCTAATGTTTTTCATGTTTGCGTTTGAATATGTGGACCAGTTTTCATCTACTCCATGCCTGGGTATAGTTGTAGCATCAAAGAAAGGATGCTGTACTCCAGCTGTAAGAATCGACTGCTGGATGAGGTAGAGAGAGACTATCACATAGAGATCGCCAAAAAGGTACACTAACAGCAACAGTTGGTCCTAATACTGTACAGTATGTTTTTCAAGATAGCTGTTGAACATCTAAGCTTTGACCTGAGTAGAAGAGTACAAGGATGTCAAGTACTTGAGTACATTAAAATAGATTATTTTATTTTAAATACATTTCTGTGGAAAAATCATATTTTACACCTTACAAATTCATTTAGACCTCCAAAATACCTTGAACTTAACTTTTATAAAGAAATTGTAATTGACCACAAAACTGTGGTTATTCATTCTTGACTCAGGTGTGAACATGGATAATCTATCTTTAAACACCTATATTAGGTCGACGTCAAATAACAATAAAATGAGCTGTGGCTACTTTAATATATTTTAAAATGTAATTTATTTCTGTGATGGCAAAGCTGAATTGATGTCACATGCCACATGATCCTTCAGAAATGATCTGGTGCTCAAGAAACATTTTTTTCTTATTTTCAATGACTTCACAACAGTTGTGCTGCTTAATCTTTTTGTGGAAACTGAGATACGTTTTCCAGAAATTTTGAAAGAACAGCATTTATTTAAAATATAAATCTTTTGTAACATTACAATTGTCTTTACTGTCACTTTCAATCAATTTAATGCATCCTTGCTGGAAAAAAAAATAAAATTATTTT